CTACCTAGGCTGGTAGTCAGGGTTCTGAGCTGACCTTCCAAGCTCTTGTGTGCAAGGTTTTAGAGCCATCAGGTCAGAGCTACAGGAGAGAGAGGTTTCCCCCATCCTGTCCAAACCATTTTCACATGTTACTTGGGCAATCCTTCCTTCATCTTTATCTTCACACAATAGAGGAAAACATAAAACCTTGTGCTTCCGCAAACAGCAGCTGAAATCACCCCAGAGGTATTATCTTAGAAACTAGAAAATGATTCAATGAAAGAAGGAATGAATCATATAAATACTCAAAGTGTTGTACCTCAGCAATGTCCCTCCCTTCTTAGTACAAAGCAAAGAACAAAAGCAGGCTGCTGCCTGGCATGGGCCCCTCCTAGATGACTTACTGGGACTGTGAAATCATCAGAAGCCTCAGAAAGAAGTGCTTATGCAGCGTTTATGACTTGATTTTCTTCTCTCCACTTCTCTGTAAGCAGGGAACCGGTAGCTGTGTTCTCTTCAGTGCCTGCATATATTCTACAAGGTGGATGAGGAAGGGCAGGGACTGAAGCAAATATTTTATGTTCACAGATTTCTGGATGGCTTTTACATTTCCGAAACTGGAAATGGATTTTAGAGATAAACCATATTGCACAAAAGAGGGGGCATAGACATCATAAGGTCATGAAAATACGAAACCACATTGTCATTGCTGAGGATGATTTTAAACACTCTCTTAGAAAACAAGCAATGTTAAATTGTGTGTGGTCTGTTCAAATGGAAAGTAATAATGGGAGGGAGAAATCCTGAACAGGCCATTAAGTGCTATCTGGCAGACAAACCAAGGTGGCTTTAGCACTTAGAGGTGCTTCAGTGAGATAAACATATTGATCTCACTTTGCCAGGCTTAAAATTAAATGTGTGAGATAGCAGAGGCTCAGGAACCCACTGTGGAAGGCATCCAGTGCAAATAACTTGATGAAAGATCATTGTACAAGAGATGAAAAGAATTAAGGAGGATGAAAAGAAGTAATTGCAACTGAAGTTTTCATTCTAAATTCACTTCAAATTGTTTCATCTTCTTAAGCAAGTATTAGGAGTTCATGTGATCCTCCAAGTGCTCCTGTCTGAAAGCTGTCTTAGGAAACAGGAGGATTGGTTCACCTTCATGGTCAACTCCTTAGTTTTGCTGGTTTGCTCAGTATTATAAGAGCAAACAGCAGCTGCTACCCATTGCTTCAGTGGCTCTTTGTCAGGGCTGTTTTATTTTTCTTTCTCATTTTTTCCTCTCTTGTTTTTCTGCACATGGTGCTTTTCACCCAGGCTCTTGTGACATCAGTGGCCAATGTCTGTGAGGAATTGCCTGGGGCCAGTGTGACTTTCAAAGGATAAGACAATTTGTTACCTTGCCAGTGAACAGTTTATTACATTTCTAATTATTGTTATTAGTCTGGCAGGTGGTGCCATGCCTGATATTTTTACAACTGCCAAAGATGCAGGTACTTCTTTCATGACACAAAATAACCTGAGTAAGATTTAAAGAAGAAACAGGCATTCTGCTGCAGGACGGTTTTGGGAATTCTTTGCTCTAATGTGTAGATGACACGCGGCTATTTCTAAATCTTAAGCTGAAACATATTGACCCTTGAAAGGTTCTATTGTGAGACCAATTGTAATGAGAGTGTGTTAGAAGGCTAAGTTCTAACTTAGAGAAGGAGGGAGAGAAGGTATCTCTCCCTCTCAAGCTCTTTCCTCTAATGTTTATTACTCTATTTGTTGTGTAAATTAAAGACTCATCATATTTATAAACTCTAGCTCAGAGATCATGTTAATCACCACCTTAATATCCCTTTCCCAATGAAGATCTAAGTTCCTAAACATAGAGACTTTGCTTTCTCTGGTTTGTAGAGCTGCATGCCATCAGATGCAAGAAGTAGAGGATAGAAATACCATGTGCATTTCAGTATTGGCTAATGCAATCCCATACTGTATTTTCTGAGCAGCACACACCAGTTCCAGCCATCACTACCTGTCCAGAACAGCTGATAAAGCATGTCATGCCTTTTGCTCTGTCATGTATTGTGTGGCAAAACATACTTTCTTAAATCAGTTTCACATTGCTTGTTCTGCTTCAGTAAATACTGAATGATTTCATGTCACGCTATTACTGAAGAGAAGGTGCTCGGGGGGAAAAATAGAGAGTTTATGACCTTTGGAAGCAGGGGCAGGAAACTCAGGTGAACTCCAGGGACATTGTGACTTTATGCAGGGAGAATATTAGGAAGAGCCAAAGCCAAACTTGAACTTAATCTGGCTACTGCCATGGAACGCAATAAAAATGTTTCTGTAAATACACTGGCACCAAAGGAGGGCTGAGGAGAATCTCCATCCTTTATTGATGTAGGGGAAGCAGTGACAAAGGATGAGCAGAAGGCTGAGATACTTAATGCTGCCTTTGCCTTAGGCTTTAATAGTAAGAGCAGTTGTTCTTGGGGTACCTGGCCCCCTGAGCTAGAAGGCATGATGAAGCCCCATAATGCAAGAGGAAGTGGTCAGTGGCCTGCTACATGACTTGAACACAGAAGGTACTAAGGGAGTTGGTGGAAGAGTGGTGCTCACCGAGGCACTTCTCATCGTTTCTCAGCAGTCGTGGCTCACTGGGGAGGTCCCAGTTGGCTGGAGGTTAGTGAATGTGACACCCATCTACAAGAAGGGCTGGAAGGAGGACCTGGGGAACTGTCAGTCTGATCTCAGTGCCAGGGAAGGTGATGAAGCAGATCACCTTGGGTGCCATCACACAGCACGTACATGACAACCAGGTGATCAGGTCCAGTCAGCATGGGCTTATGAAAGGCAGGTCCTGCTTGACTAACTTGATCTCCTTCTATGACAAGGTGACCCGCTTAGTGGATGAGAGAAAAGCTGTGGATATTGCCTACCTAGACTTCAGTAAAGCCTTTGACACTGTTTCTGTAGAATTCTTCTGGAGAAACTGGCTGCTCATGGCTCGGATGGGTGTACTCTTCACAGGGGAAAAAACTGGCTGGCTGGCTGGCTGGCTGAGGCCAAAGAGTGGTGGCTGATCACAAGGAGTGTTCCCCAGGGCTCAGTACTGGTCCCAGTTCTGTTTAATATCCTCATCAATGATCTGGATGAGGGGACCGAGGGCATCCTCAGTAAGTCTGCAGAGAACACCAAGTTGGGGGGGAGTGTTGATCTGCTTGAGGGTAGGAAGACTCCACAGAGGGATCTGAGCTGGCTGGATCAATGGACTGAGTCTGAAGAAACTGGGGGGGTTTAGTCTGGAGAAGAGAAGGCTCAGGGGGGACCTTATCGCTCTCTATACTACCTGCGAGGAGGTTGTAGTGAGGTTAGTCTCTTCTCCCAAGTAATGAGTGATAGGACATGAGGAAACGGCCTTGAGTTGTGCCAGGGAAAGTTTAGACTGGATACTAGGAAAAATGTCTTCACCTAAAAGCTTGTCAAGCATTGGAAGAGGCTGCCCAGGGAAGTGGTGGAGTCACCATCCCTGGAGGTGTTTAACAGATGTGCAGATGCAGCACTTGGGGACATGGTTTCGTGGTGGCCTTGGCAGTGCTGGCTTAACGGTTGGACTTGACGGTCTTAAAAGTCTTTTCCAACCTAAATTATTCTGTGGTTCTATGTTTAGTCTCAAGTAATCAGTATTGCAATAGCAGCTACTTTGTTCTTAGTCGTGTGGCTACTATCTTGACAAACATGAGCCATGTTTTCCTGTCATTCTCATGAACGAAGAAACTTGAATTAATCAATTTATTCTTTTCATGTATAACCCTCTTTGCTTCTCCCCATGTCTGCCCAGGAATATCAAACAATCCTATTCAGGAGAACCAGACACTTAGATTTGTTACAGTCAGTCCAACTGGATTTTACTGTATTATACTTCAGTTTGAGGAACTGAGGAGATGGGACAGTCTTCTTGTCCAGCTCTGTCTCTGTCCCCTACCTTAATGTCTTATAATGCAGCCACACTGGGACAAGACAACAAGTTGCCTTAATGCCACATCTACGTCCTGTAAAAATGGAACATAAACTGTCAGCATCCTGTAAGGAAAATGCATCAATCCATTTTGTATAAGATTTAGTGGTTTTGTCCTTCTGTGACTTGGAGGAAAAACAGCTGTACTAGAACGGTTTCAGGATTTGGCTGACTTATGTATGCACCCGCCAGGGCTCCAGGTAAAGAACTGATCTTGCTGGAGCAGAGAGCATGGGCATGTTTTGGAGTCATTCCCTGCAGGGGCTGTAGTGGCACTGGTTCAAATTAGTGGCTAGAAAGATATTACATACCTGACTGCACCTGGTGCAGAGGAACTGAAGATGTCAGTCCCCTCCCCTTTCCCCATCAATTGTCTCATGTTTCTGAGATACAGGTGTGTGGTTACAGTGTAAACAGACCAAAGAGTTTTCTTCTAGGCTAATAAAGTGCATGATTTTTACCTGACAGTATCTGTGCCAAAATACAGAAACAGAGTATGAATTCCTGCACTTCCACACACCATGTGGGGAGAAAGACTCTTGTTCCTGGAGCCAGGATGGCAGCCAGCACCCGCCCCTCTGGCAGCTGTACCTCAGTCTTTGCTGAATGCATTTCAGAGGTTTATTTTTGTCTTGTCCATGCTTTCTATCCACCGTCAGAGCAGCTTAAATGAAGACATAATGTATGACTGTGACACAGGAGTTTGGTTTTTCTGTGCCATTCTCTGCTCTTTTGTGACTATCCAGAAGGATTCGTGTGCTCGCTGTGGTCATTGCCTTTTGCCACTAATTAGAGGAAGAACTGCTCTGTCTTCATCCCTAAGCTTGCAAGTCTCTCAAAGTCACGATGATGTCACTATTTTTTATGTAGCCTGGATTATAAAGATGTAACACTAAAGGAATGACAATGATTATTTCACATTGACTAGGTGGTATCTTCTGAGACTACTATTTCTTTAGTACCAATTGTAACTCTTGATACCACAACACCACTTACTTAGGTTGAAGGAGAAAAGAAAAAGCACAGGTGTGAGGAAGTTGCATTGTACAACTGTGTTATCTGCAATGCAGACAAGTGATTTATGATTGCATGTTTCATGGAGCTGGAATGATATTGCCAGAGGTAAGAATAAAGAGGAAAATTCAAACTCCCTTCAGGTGACAGACATCTTAAAAAATAAAGAGGATCCTTTTGAATTTTCTGGCAAGTCTCATCAGGAGAGTCCTACAGCAAAGAGGGAAATGTGACTTTCCATTTGCAGGCACTACAACTGCCCCAGAACAACCACTACTCACTGTGTGAGACCCCCTTGATAGGCAACCAGGAAAACTGGTGCTGTAGCTGCTAACTGTACCCAGGCTGTGTTCCGCTTCTGCTGGTGCTCACAACTTGCTCTTCTGACATTGTGCAATTCCACAGTAATACAGACATTAGTTTCATGGACCACTCTGACCACTTTTGCTTTATAGAAAGAAATCGGCTCTGTAGTCAGCAGAATGGATGACATTTGGTGTCCTATGGATTTCCTTTCCTTCCAAAACATGGAAAGCCCCAGGTCCCAGTGGCAGGTATTGGGAAAACTTGAATTTGCTCTGCTTCTCATAGACTGGACAGGGATCAAGGGAAATGGGGCAATTCCTGTAATGCTGCTGGATTTGCAAGAGAACCTTGGTATCAACTTGAAGTCCGCTGAATGGTATGAACTTGAAGCAGAGTAAAGTTCTGATAGTTTAGTTGATAGTATTTTGAGCACAGTGCCACCTAACAGCAATCACAACTAGAGCTTTGGCAAGAGAGGTGCCTTACACAGGTATTCAAGCTCTAAGCCTTGAAGCAGCTGCTTCTGCTCTGATCTAAATCATGTCTAATGAGATGTAAGTGTTGAACCCTTGAATTAACTGCTCTGTTTCTTTTCTGTTTTCAAGTTAGTTTGTGCTTTGTTGCTTTGGGGTTTTTAGTTTTTGCCAATTTGAATCTATTACATTAATTTTGCAGCTCTCCTGTGCTGCACTGCCTTTGGAAAGTGTTCCTCTTGTTCCCCTTAGCTATTTAAAAGTGTTTTCCAAGGAAGATCAACACCAGCCTGGGTGCTTGGCCTGGATTGAGAACCTTGGGCATGCCCTGGTGCAGTGCCTGCAGCCACTAGATGGCACAGGGCAAGGGACTCTATCTACACCCTGAATAGCAACTTGACGTTTTCAGTCTGTTAAGTATGATTAAAGGATAAATAATATTAAATGTTTCTTTAATAGGAGAAAATGCACAGCATTGACAGTAGTGATTAAGTTGTATTAAACAGTTGTTATTCTGGACACCAGGTGATTAGTACATTCAAACCACTTCATTTCCAGACTTTGGCACCTTGGTCATTACTAACTCAAATCATAAAGTTCAGTGAATCAAGTTGTAAATAGTTTTATTGGTTCCGTGTTGGAAAAAAATGGAGGGTTGTGAAATTCCTTGAGGATTTAAAGTTAGGTATTTCCTAAGCCCTTGTATGTCTATTTTTCTGTTCTATAGTTAGTTATTCATCACTGCAGAAACGATAAACTCTGTTTCTGCCTTTGCAAACACTAAACCCAACATGGTAATTGAGGACAGAGAGTTGCGTTCCTGAACAAATATGCCAAATGAAGAGAGCTGGAGTTTTGCACTAAGATTGTAGAATAGTTAGAGTTGGAAAGGAGCTTAAGATCATCTAGTTCCAACCCCTTGCCATGGGCACACTGCTGACTGCATGCCGTAGTTACCTGAGGGAGGAATTGCCTCCAAGGATGAGAGGGGAACTGCTCTTACAGCTTCTGGAGAAAGGCCCATATTTACATATATGCTGATGGCTGTTGGATAAAACACTGGACCTTCATGTCTCTGTTGGTTTGTCTTTTCTTTTCTGAAACATTTTTCATTTATTTGAGAATTATTTTATGTCTTTTATACGATAAGGTTTCCTTCAAAGCAGTTTTTTGGTTTGTTTAATGAAAGCTTAGGAATTAAGTTGTGAGATCTAGATACATTTTAAGGTCTCAGTGCTCTACAACAAGGCTTCCTTAAAGTTCATTTTAATACCTTTTAAGTGACTGGGAGCAAGTTTTTGGTTTCTCTAAACCAAACTGAGGATTAACTTTAACCTGTTTTGGCTTGAAAATTGTCTGTTAAGTCTGTTTATGATTCCAGTGCTTGCTGAAGTGACCCTTGCATCACTTAAATGCCACTTTACAAATTGCTGGCAAGATGTTTATGATGAAGTGCCTTTCTCACTTGTAAGCTATTTTCATTGTTGTCTTAGCCTGCTTGACATCAAGCTGGTTTTCTGGTAGGGCCATATGTTGTAGAAGTGCATATGTTTTACTGGGATAAATCCTTCACATTCTCTTAGGTGTACATGTATGTGCCTGTAGAACGTGTGTGTGTGTGCATGTGTGTGTGTGTGCGTGTGTCTGGGCAAGGCAAGGCAAGACAGCACCATAACTCCAGGGAAAATGGAGGAGGTGACTGCGAGTCACCCACTTACTCATTGGCATATACTGTGGGAAACCTGTATTTTGTGGTTTTGTAGAGCACTTGCTTTTTAGACAAGGCAGGCAAGGAGGCAGATAGCCCCTTCTCATTAACAAATTTATCACTTACAGCTCCTATGTAAAAGCAACTGAGTGTCAACCCTGAAATGAAGAGCTGCATTGGAAATCACACCTAACTACAGCAGGTGCTGAGCTGGCAGTTTCACAGAAGATTGTGAAATTTGATCACACAATGGGAAATAGAGCCACTCCTTGAGGGCAATATCTGGAAACATAATGGGGAACCACCCTTCAAAGGTGATCTGTGTAATAATGGAGCTTAGAAACACTTTCTACCTGCTTTGCTTACAAAATGATGAACATTTTTAATAGTGTTACTGGGTTTTGCACAAGCACACTATATTTAGCTGCACCTCAACTACTCCTGTGCTCAGACACACCCAAGGCAATGAACTGCCCAGTGCATACTTGCTACTACCATCACTTCAAGGTGGAAACTATTAATGAAATTGCCCGTTCTCCTTGTGCCCTGACATTATTGTTGACTCCTCTGTCTCCAGATTACAGCTTTTCACCCCTATTCTTCTGGGAGCTGAGCATCTGTACCTCCCCCTTGAGAAACTTTCACTGCAGCCCTTTTCTGGTAAGTCTCTAACCTTGATCTGCTCATACATGCTAATGAACATGGAACACCCAGCATTACTGCATTGGCCCCATGACACTCTGTGCTACTTGATGTCTCTCTTCTTTCTTCTTGAGATTGCCATAAAGATTGCACCTGTGCTCTTGCATGTACTTATGCACACCACAGCCTCTGAATAATGTAGACTAATAGAAAAGACTTCAAAGAATCATAACACACTTTTAAAGGGCTGGAAGGAGAGGCTGATGGGATATGTTATAAGAATTCCCCATTTCCTGCTTAGCTAAGCAGTAATTTAGAAGGACATGTAAACTCTGGGCAAGTGTTTCAAAGAAAACAAAAAGCAAACAAAAGCTATGCACAGTGCCCTGATGCTGTAGACAAAGAGCAAAGGGAGAGGCTTGCAGCAAATCATCTGCTTGAGTTTGTCATTTTTAGGTGCTTGGGCTCAGGGTGAGCAGGGTAATGAAATATTTAGACAGATTTATGTTATTTGATAGAGGCAAATGCAAAGGGAAAGAAGGTGAGTGAGTGGTTTAGCAGTGGCCTGAACAAGTCATTATGTGATTGAAATCAATTACCCAGAAGCTCATTAGCCAAAGAGAATAAATGCCCTTCCTTCTCGTGCTGTGGATAGTCTATTGGATCCCTACCACACATCAAATCAATCACTATCTTTCAAAGCCACTGAAGGATTAATACCAGACTGTTCTTTCTGAGTAGGTGATTTTCCAGAGCAACTGTGCTTGTCAGAGTAATGAAGCCATGAGTGCAAAGACAATCAGTGATCAGCAGATACAAGAATTGTCTTGACAGTTGGAACTGGAAAGAAACTACTGCAGGTCACTGAATTCTAACATTTCATAAATCAAATGTACACTGCACTCTGTCCTTGTCACCTCATAATTACCAGAGAGAGAGAAAGAAGAAAGATTCTGAAGAGCATGTATGCTATTTTAGAGTGAAAGTCACTCATGTTCACTCTCATTGAACCTATAGGGTTCAAGTGGCACTTCAGAAATGCAACAGACTTAGTGCAAATCTTGGGCAGGCAACAACAGAATGAAGCATTTAGCACAAAGTTCAAGGGCACCTATTGTATAACTGGTGTGTCTGAGCCCATTTATGGCACTAAGTGCTTGATCTGGCAAAATATCTTTGGATATCTTTGTCAGTTCAGTCATTAGGAACTGCAAGTCAGTTCCAGCAGAATAGGATTAAATATTTAACAGTATTAGAGGCTTTTGAAAAGGAATATCTTGGGTTTGAGATCCCAAGAAAATTGGACTCTTAATAATAATTATTACCTTCACAATAAGAATAAATCAATTATGTTAACTTCTCTGATGATTTAAAGATATTTTAAGTAAGTCCACAGACAAGCAGTTGGTACATGGAAGACAGAAGTAGAAGCAGTGATACATAATGGGAAAATTCTCTATCACACAAGGATACATAAAAAAAAATCTTTAATTCAGTCATATATATTTTAGGACACAGGGATTCTCCCCTTCTCAAGAGAATGTTGCTCTTCTTATAATGACCTTATGGGCTGTAATCTTACATAAATAACAATGGTAGAGATGTTCTAGGAATAAAATGGTCTTTTACATTCATAAGTGGACTGCAAATAAATATGTTTCAAAGTAATAGATTGGGTTGACAATGTGGGATTTGTCTGTAATCATACAACACATGTCTTGCTGGGAATGCCCACAGAGCATATGACAGTCATGTACATTTTGAACATAGACACAGCAGACTGTATACTCATCAGGAGATCAGGAATGTAGAGTCTTTTCTTTATATACACACCTCTCTTCTTTCTCACTGCAGATTTCACACTCTGCAGGTGGAGCTGGAAAAGCAATGCAGCACTAGGGGAAAATCTACCCTTGCAGAGGCAGAAAACCTGAAGATACCTGGGACAGCTAGAAAGCCAAAGGTTACCTTGTCTCAGTGCTGGGGTAACGAAATTGCCAGCTAAACAGTACTGTTAGGCAATTCTATTGCTGTTATCAGCGGGGTGATTTTGCTTGTAGGTGGCTTGTCCTTTTCCACGCAACAGGCTTGTGTCTTAGCCAGTGCCTTGGCAAAACACACGCAGATGATAGTCTTGCTCTCGCTGCAGTTCTAACAGAAACTTGTTGATTTCTTGCCTCTCCATATTACAAGCATGTACCTGTCCTATTTGCCCAAGATGGGAAAGTTTGCAGTTGGAACAAAGATGAAGCCCAGGTGTTGATGGCTAGATTTATCGTCAGAACTCCCAGAATGTTGAGTACAAATCCAGCTTTGGCCTGGAATTATAAAAGAGAAAGGTTATGAGTTGAACTGAGCTCTTTTTTCCTTCCTTGCTGATGAGGGTTTTGTGTATGGTTAGATTTTATCTTGGGCCTTTTTTACAACTCCATCAGATGATGTTTGGACATCAGAACTCCATCAAATGACGTTTGGACCTGGCATCTGTCTCTAACGTTACTTTGGATTTCTTCTTGGGTCAGTGATAAGTTAGGAAAGCTATCAAGAGACATGGCATCCTTGTCAGGCTTTCCTTAACATAGTGAGAAAGGGCATCAGGGCAGCCCAGTGACATGTGCTAGGCTTTCCCCTTGTCCCTGCAGGACTGTCCAGGTGATTGGACTCTGACATCTCTATGATCTACATTTGGCTTTTTCAATCATTTAGACATTGCTACGTCTCATTGACAGCAAGATCTTACTGGAACATCTTCAAGAGGACTTGGTTGTTCTTTAAAAGCTCAAGAGCATCTTTGTAAGTGTTGCTATTCTTTAGAGTGATGAAAATTCTGAAAAGAATGTGCTTTCACTCACCATATCTATGACTTTGAGTTGTCCGCATGAGAAGACAATGGCATTAGGAGGAGTGGCCACTGGGAGCATGAATGCCAACGATGCAGAAAGTGTACAGGGCAGCATGACATAGAGTGGATTGAGGCAGATCGCTTCAGCCTGTGCAAGGAGGGAGAGCAAAGATGATGGTTTTGATACACAAATCCACATAGAAATCTTTTGGCAGAGACTGTATATGTCATGTCAGAAACCTCACTCTTCTACAGACACTGCAGCCACTGAAATGTTGGTTCTGCTTTAGCAACTTCAGCCAATGTCTGTATGCAGCAAATGCAAGAATAATTTTTGTGGTCAGTGCTTTGTGTTTCTGATGATGACATCTGATCACTCCTGCAGTATAAATTAATAATAATGGTTGTATTCAACTCTAAAAGCAGGAAAAAATGTAGAATGGCTTCAAACTGGTTAAGAACAAAACTCAGTTAGCAGAGGAAACAGGGTAGCCCAGGCTTTAAAGGTGAGTGGATCAGCTAGGGGTTAGCTGGAGTCTGTGGCCTATGCAAACAGATCTTGGTGGAGTTTATTCCAGTTTCCATCTGGAACCAGCTTTTCATGCTGCAGAACTATGTCTACCCCAGCAACAGGAATCTCCTGTGGAAATGCAAAAGTCTGAATTGGGTCATAGAGCTTGACTAATGCTATCACCTTCAGACACTTCTGGAAGGCCAGTGGTCAGAGTGAAATACAGTAATGGAATGTTGCAGGGAAGCAAATGCTGCTGCTGGTGCTGTCTCTATGCAGAACAAATAGGAAAAAACAAGTACAGCTGGCAGTGACCTCATGAGGTTGTTTAGGCCAGAAGGCAAAGTCTAATATGCCAATGAATTTAATCCCTTTATTTTTCACCAGCAATGGTTTTAGAAAGGTTGAACTAAGCACAGTGTGTGTGAGTATATATGCATGCACATACATATATGTAGATTTTAAGTCTTGTATTCCTGATCAGATACATGACCCAGTGCTTGGCTGGGTTAACCAGTTATTTTATAATTGAGCAGATATATGCTTGGG